CGATGTGTAGAGTGCAAAAAACAGTCGATCTGCTTAGAAGGGTAGTTATTGTGTGGCGTTAAAGTGAAGAGTTTCGTTTCCATCGCTCTAAAGCATGTGTTCAAAAGGCTTAATGACGAAAAAAGACGAGATGCTTGAACCCATCGTGCTGCTGTCCTATAAGGCAAAGCATTTGTTCCACAGGCTTCCACTAATCCTCGAGAGCATTCTGTTGCACTTTTGCCACGGGCAACCTCCATTTTAAGCCACAACCGCTGATCACCATGCTTTAGAGCGATGGAAACGAAACTCCTCACTTTAACGCCACGCAACAACTACCCTTCTAGGCAGATTGACTGCTTTTTGCACTCTATACATAGACAACAGCGCCACCTCACCGCTCTCATATCCCATTTGCGCAGGCCCGCCCTTCTGTGAGTTTCAAGGTTAAGTTGCCAATATTTAATTTACAACCCTCGTATTAAGCATTTTCTAATTTTAATTTGAAGTAACCAATAAAATATGAATTAAATAATCAATGTAACAAAAAGCATTAAAATAAGTATTAAATTTTTTAAAAATAAAACGATCTTACTTTTAAATCAGCATTAAACGATAAGTCCAAACAAATTTTTTGCAAAGAAAAACTCAAATTTATTCATGTATCACATATAATCATATATCCAGATATCAAATATAATCACATATAAATACAGCAGTTAAAAACTTTCAAAATCTGAACTCTCAGTATCGGAGTAAAATAAGTTCATTAGTTTATTGTTTATTTCCGGGTCATCCCCGTCACTAACACTTTCATCACTTTCGGTTTCATTTCCCCCTGATATGAGTTCGGCTTTCTTGGAAGCTTTTATTACGGTTTCTTTTTTCACAGCTTTCCACGCTTGTGACACCCATGCGGCGACCTCATCATAATTTGCCTGCCGCATGTGTCCAGATTTTGTATAGGAGTGGATTCCGCGCTCCATCCAGTTTTCCCACAGCTGCCTCACTTCTTGTTTGAAAACCCCGTTCACAGTGAGGTCAAGAGGTTGCAGCACCTTTGTTAGGCCGCCAGGGATAATAGAAAGTTCCGCGGATAATTGTTTTTTGCACAAATCTTTGATAGAGTCCACTTTATGGGAGTGCAGCGAGTCGAGGATTAATAATCCGCGTGGCTGGAAAAAGCACCTTTCCTCCTCCGATATACCAAATCCAGCCACTGCAGCATCAGATCCTCGCACATCACCCCTTTTCATTGGCTCTAATTATCACGTCTTGAGGAAAATTACCTTTCGGTATTGTTTTCCTTTTGAAGATCAGCAACTGGGGAAGCTTCTCCCCTGTTGCGGAATACCCAAGCACACAGGTGAAGGACATTTTTCGTAGCCAGTGGTTACTGTGGTCACGGACCCTTTTCAGACTTCCGCCTTCGGATGCACCATTCATCTACATCAAATTCTCAAGCAGCAGCCTGATTTCCAATTTCTTCAGCTCTTTTAATTGCTGAAAGCTTAAATGCAGCCGTATAACTTCTCCTCTTAATGGGAGTCATTTGAAATATATAACTTAAGAACAAGTTATATTGAAATTTAAATAAAACAAAATATCAAAAAAAATAACAAAACAAAAATATTAACAAAACAAAAACGCAACAGAAGATTAGAATTGAAGATTAAACGATAAAAAAAATAAGCTAAGGAAGAAGATGATTGAACTCTTAAGGCAGAAATACGAGCAATGAAAAAAAAATCTAAGAAAAAGCGCTCCCCTCCCAAGCATTTATAACACGTTTCTATATTCCCTCCCCCTACTTTCTCTTCTCAAATGAGACTTCAGAAAATAGCTTTTTTTTTATTTACTAACTCCGCCTACGAGGGTGTAAAATTCTCCCACATTGCTTCTTCCTCTCTTCACTGACCTTGAGCTGAAAGTTAGAAATTCTTCTTGAATTGTAAGAATATTCAAGGTTATCTCAAGCTCATTGGCACCATTCATTCATCAAACATTTACATGTTTTTAACAAACAGCTGGGAAAAAAAGGGGAGTGGATACTTACTGATGAAACCATAACAAGTGGAAGAGACATATTTCCTGGAAAAAAACGGGGAGGGTTAGTGTTTGTTTCACAGTGAATCACTGGCACCACCCTGATTTTCTTTATTCATTCCTTTCTGATTTATGCTTCTCCACTCCACGCTTGTCTCCTGCACTCAACTGCTATTGCTATGGCAGAAGGGAAAGAGAAACTTTTGTTCTCTTGCAGATAGCGGTTTCCAGAAAGTGATTATAAGAAACATGGGGGAGGAGGAAATTCCAGGTGCGTTGACCATTTTTTGGAGTTACATTAAAGTTGAAAAAATAAATAAAAAGCATAAGTAACAGGTGGAAAAAATGATGATGAAATTTCCAGTGGGGCCATAAGTGCAAGTTGGAAAGAAGGCCAAGACTGAAAATTTTTTGACTGAAATACCTAACATACACAATACCCCCTCAACATATGCAAACTATCTAAGAAAGCTTTACCATAATACATCAAGTTTAAATACTGTACAAAAAATATTTATTCATCTGTCTTTGGATAAAATAACAACAGTACATAAGAAAGTAGACCAATAACGTAGACCTAAAAAGTATTTTTAAGGACAGAAAAAAAAAATTCCGATTTCCGTCTTCGAGTCAGTCTTGTTTCCATCTTACTTCCGTTCGCGGACATTTTCGAAAGATGGAAATCCGTCCTGGGGACGGAAGACTTGCACCCATGAGTGGGGCTTCTAAAAGGCAAAATTTTCAAAAATAATGCTATGTAAAAAAAAGAAAAAGTAATGCTATATAGGCCACCCCATTAGATACGCCTTTTTATTAAATTTTCAAGTTTTAAATCAATAACGCTGCGGCCTGTCTCCGCGAAATTACGGTACCTCAATTTTGTTACTGTTATTATCTTCATTTTTATTTTGTGACATATCATCAGTAGCTAGTCATTTCTTCTCACTGAAGCTATCCTTAACTGGGGAACCTTTCCTTTTGCCTTTATATTTGTTATTATTATTTGTTTGATTTAACTGTTCAGTTTCCATATTGACATTATTATCAATTTCTAGAGGGCTGAAGCTATTTTTCATTGGGATTTCCATATCTCTCTGGTATGTGGTTTTAGAATTTGGGAATGGGGGTTTATAATTTTTACTATTCAAGCTATTCTTAGTTTCGGGTTTACTCCAATCGCGGCCTGACCCATTTGCCTCTACAAGGCTCCCAGGCGGTCCGTGCAGTTCCGGCGTAGCCATCCCTGTCGGTGCCGCAAGGGTGCCAGGTAGCCCCATATCCCAGACTAAGAGCCCTGATAAGGGCTGGGGTGGATGCGAGATACATAGAATTTACAGGCGGGGTGCCCAACCGTCCGGGGGTCTGGCCCCCACAACACTCAGATTGACCTGCGCCTGCAGACCTGTCGAAATTTTCGTAATTCATTGAACCGGTTTTGAAGAAAAACCTCTCTCAACCGTGGCTGAAGTCTGAATGATGTGAGGACAAAAAGAAATGAGAGAAAACAGGGTAAATATAGAGAAAGGTGACATCACAAGAGGGTTTAGAGCAACGGCCAATAGGAGGGAAGGGTGATAAGACTTGTAAAAATTGTTCTTCATTTTTTATTTAGATTTTTACGAGTCTTATCATATTTTCAAAAATTCCAAACTGTTGGTCAATGACCTATCCAGCGTTCCTTATCTTTCTCCTGTTTGGAAATCTATGATTACACCTAACTAACCACCTTTTTGTTCCTTGCTTCCTATTCGTCCTCATCCATTCACCCTTCCCTCCTATTAATCAATGCTCTAAATCCTCTTGTGACGTCACCTTTCTCTATATTTACCCTGTTTTCTCTCATTTCTTTCTGTTGCACTAATGAAGGTTGCCCTTTGAGCATCCGAAACAGCTGTCTGTATTTTATAAATATTTTTGTGCTCTTTAACGTTGTTTGCCTCAGTTTGCAAGAGTGATTACTTAGGAAAAACACAGAATCAGTTTATTGGGAAGAAAATTAGATATCTTCAAATAATTAAACTATGGGAAAATTTGTTTTTTTATCATATTACATAATACAAAAGTCCATTTAAACATAAATTTTAACATTAAAAAATTTATTCATAGAATTAAATTTTATATATATATATATATATATATATATATATCCTAGTTATTAAAATAAATGCAAGTGAAAAACTTTGATTTAAAAAAAGTTTGGTTAAAAATGATTAAAATTAAAAATAATGAAAAAAAACTGATTGAAAAACTACATTGATTGAGATTGGGTGTGTCAAAAAGTATTTAGTTAAAAATTTCCGAATTTGTTTAATTTTTCAACAAAAATATTCTATCTTTTTTTCCTCATTTCGTTTAGATTGCTGCCATGGGCCGCACATCGAGAGTTGGTGTGGCTCGCGGGCCGAGGTTGTGCACCCCTAACTTAATACATAAATTATATCATAATAATTAGTTCAATACAGACAATATAATTAATAAGTGGCCAGGATAGTCTTGTTGGTAGGGCACTGGGCCCATGTCCAAGAGTTTGTTGGTTCGATCCCCTCCGGCCGAAGACTCCCCGTGTAGTAAATGACTGATGCATGTTAAATCTGTCGATTCACAAAGTTGTCCATGTTCCCATAACAAATCATACCTCTGGGGTTACTGATCCAAGAGTTTCCTTGTCTTCTGGGTTGGTTCGAAATTACAAGGCTACGGAGTTGAACACTAATAGTCGTAAACCCAAGATTGAGTGGGCTGTTCAACGACGGAGATAAAAAAATATACTTAACAATACTTAAACTTTTTTAAAAGGTTTCTAACTTCCATGTGCAATCGATTCCCTGCTTGCAAATTACCTGCAAGCCTCATAAGTATAGCACTACTATCATTATTTCTTTTCAAAATTTTGTCATTGCTCTAACTCAATCCAAGAAGTAACATTTTGGTATTAACACAATCTAAAAAGCAAAAACAATTTTTTCTCTTACTAGCTCTGTCACAGTTTCTGTCATCTTGTTTCATTAGTAACTCTCCAAGATTTAAGTGCTGTAAAGGAGGACACACTTTTGGCAAAAGAGATGTTATTAACATCCATGTGGAAATTTGGGACTCATTTATCAGAAGAGAAAAGTAAAGTATTTAAAGCCTTTGTTTATCAGTAAATTCTAAATTTGTTCAACTCAAAATTGTTTTTAAAATTCATAAATAGCATAGAAAGTATATAATAGAATCAACATTAAGGTAAAGAACTAGAAAAATTAATAAAATGATCAAATACAGTCGCTTATAATGAGAAACTCAAAAATGCTTGTCTATGGAGCATAGTAATTAGCAAACCTAATGTCGAAGATGTCTTATCTGAAGAACACTATAAAAAAGCCGTCAGACAGTTTGAAGCAAATTAACTGTACAGTATACTATATTTATAATTTAATATTAATAAGCATGTTATCCTGGTTAACAAGGACTTATATTCTCATGAATGTGAGTTTGAATCCAGCCGGGCGAACACTCCCCGTGTAGTAAATTGTGACTGGTATGTGTAAATCTGCCGGGCCACTAAGTCCTTCATGTTCTTTTAACAAATCATTCCTTTGGGGGTACTGAATTGGAGATTGATCGTTCTCTGGTTCAGGTAAAAATTATGGTCTGTGGATGAATGTATGAATAGGTCCACTCCATAAACAGGTGTGACGTATAGGCGTGGCAGAAGTCGAATTCTCTGCCACTGGAAAGCAAGAAGATCCACACGTCTTGCTTTCATGGCCTATGACAACCACAGCAAACATGTTAAACTTTTATGATTTTTTTCAAGCACTTGGTTGTAACAAGCAAATATTGAGATATGAAATTTGAAAAAAAAAAGAGGGGGGCTATACAGAAATGGACCTATGCACATATTAAACATAATGTGACCCAGATGCAGCTTGTTAGAACGTATAACCCAAAATGATTTTTTGTATTGTGTTTAAATATAGAGGACGTGTGTGTCACAGGTCCTGGGTTTGATCCTCGAACCAGGCAAGGTTGACTCAGTCCTTCATCCCTTCAGTGGGTCGATAAAATGAGAACCAAGCATGCTTGGGGATTAAACACTGGAGTTCCGCATATGGCTGACCAGCCAACCAGAATATCTGCTCCTTCACCCCAGGGCCCAAGGTCAAGAAAACTGAGATGGGCACAGTAGACCTTGGCCGTCTATGGGCAGTTGCATCACTGAGTTAAATAGTTTAGTTTTAGTTGTAGTTCAAATATGTCCAAGATTCAAAGACACTTTTAATCAATATTTATGTTTACCATTTGTAGAACCTTGAAAAATTAATACGCAACTCACAAGAGCTGCTTTCTATAAAACTATCAAAAAAGAAAGGGCAGCATAAAAAATGCAGAGCGAATTTTAAATTGCAAACAGTGATGTAAAGTGTGTTCGTGTGTTTTCTCCTTCCCTTTTAATCAATCAATTCACAAGAAATAGACTTGTGTTAGTCTTCCCCCAAATTTTTACAAAAAATGCAACTGAGGAATGCACTTTAAAAAGAAATTTTTTTTTGTTAGTGCTGCTGAGAGAAGCTGCAAGCTGTTTATTTGGGTCATTGTCTTTAGTTTTTCAATATTATTATGCATTAAAAGATTGTTTCTGCTGTTGTGTCACTTAATTTAATTTTTTTTTATTTAATATTGTTTCTGCTGTTGTGTCACTTAATTTAATTTTTTTTCTATTTAATATTGTTTTGTTTTATACCTAAATAATATGAAATTCAAATAATTTTATTGACATAAAATTGTTTGTTTAGAGATACATTATTAAAGATTTATTTCTCTTAATTTGCTGCCATCTTTAACACTGTTTGCTCCTCTTGCTCACAAAACAGAAAAACTAATGAATGAAAATATTATGAAATTTTGCCATTTTTTAGAATAATGCTTAAAAAAACAATCTAATATGAAAATGTTATGACATGGCTTCTAAGTTTAAGTCAAAGCTGAAATTCATTTATTTATTTTTTAACAACACGATTGAAAATAAGCAGGGCGTTTCATTGTGTTTAAATTTTGGATTAATTAGTTTATATGGACTGTTTTTATGTTTTTTAATATAAAGTGTACTTGAACATCAATCTGTTTGCTTCGAGCGTTCTCAATTTCAGATTTAGAAAAATCAATAGCAGCACTGTTATCACAAAACATTTCACAGCTTGGTATATCCAATTTGAGTTTTTTATCAGTTAGCACATTTTTTTACCACTCTAACTCCTTGCCACTAACCATAAAAATTAAAAGAATTAAATAAAAAATGAACAAATTAATCACTGAAGATAACAAAAGGTTTAAAAATGGTAATGCAACTATAAATGAAGAAAAAAGTAATTATAAATTTTGTAGGTAAAAAAACTAACACCAAGTTAATTCATAAGAAATTCTGTAAATATTTTTTTAATCAAAAAAGATAAAAATACGTGGCTTTTTTCTTACTTAATTATTAAATTTATTTTACATGTAATTTGATTTGCGTTTTTGTCAGGGCCCTAAGATTTTAATCCAAATTTACTGGTTGTCATTTCTACTAAAACAACTTCGTCTTTTCAATTCAAAAACTAAAACAAAATAAGGAATGAACTGAGGACAATAAAATAAAATCCTTTTATCTTAGTATAATAAATATCGAAAAGGAATTCATAATAGTTTTAATTTCTTGAGAGACAATAATTGAAACCAAAGAGTAATAAATTACTAAATATTCAGAACCTAAATTTCCTTATAAGAATTTAATCAAATGTTGTCGTCTTAAGCAATTAAGGCAAGGGAGTGTGCAATTGTTCATGTTTTCCAGTGGTGCCATCTATGGCCAAGAATTCAACTTCTAGCACACTCATTTGCCATGCCTGTTTATACATCCATTCATTCATCCACATATCATAATTCTGACTTGAACCAAAGAACAATCAATTTCCAATTCAATACCCCCCCAGAAGTATTATTTGTTCTGAGAACATGGAGGTCTCCATGACATGACAAATTTAATGTGCATCTTCAGCCAACTGGATTTGAACACTCGTTCTCACATACGCAAGTCCTGCCAACCAGGCTATCACAGCGCCATCAAAGCAAATAAACAACATTTAAAAAGTTCTCTTTTTTTCCCTTGCAATCTGATTTTGTTGGTTATGCAACAAATAGGAATTTTTTAATGACCGATGTTTTGATACCAAATAATAATTAGTGGAAATACAATTTGACGGATCATTTTACAACTTTAAAAGGGCACATTACTTTCTTCTAGATGAATGTCACTTGTCACTATTTTCAATTTAACAAAGACTTGTATTTTACAACTATCTCTTGTTTATCTGTATATTCTCAAATTTCTTCATATTTGTTAAAGACTGAAAATTTTGGTGATAAAATATCCGCTGAGGGCAAAAATACTTCTTTATTCCTCAACAGATGGTGCTATTGCCAGTATTTATAAATAATGATTTAAAAAATGACATCCGAGATTCTCTCAGAATATCATATCTGTATATCAACAACTCAAAAAAAAGAGAAACGAAGTTTCGGAAGAAATGAGTTTATTTAAAAACATTAGTAATAAAAATGTCACAAACAGAGTGTCGAAAAGAAAAGAAAGAATACCCAAATGATCTGCTTCAACACAGATAACGGGTGACGTCATGATCCACGCAAGAACGACCAACAGTAAATGAAAATAAACTGGCTGATCCCCGCAGATCATGACGTCACCAGCAAAAGTTGGATCCATGAGATCGACGACCAAAAATCGAACCTCATACCTTTTAGCCTCTATTTGTCTAACAAAAAAATCTTTAGATTAAAATTTATATACATATTTTTTACTTCGCTAAAAGTAAGTGCTTATATTGTTTCCAACTTTGAATTTCTCTTTTTGACTTACATAATTATGCATGATGTATTAAAACTTTACGTCATAGCCCAAAAAATGTTGCTTGTAAAATCTCCAATATTGGCAAGTATGTGTTAAAATTTTGATTGATAAAAAGAATTATCAGCTAATTGTTTTAACTGAAAAATCAGAATACTGAAAGTAAAATTTCTAACAATTCAAATATGTATGTTTCAGGTGCAATTTTATCAACTGCATTGAAAAACATTGAAGTTCTTGGCTGCGAAGTATCTCATAATGTGATTTTAATGACTTTACAAGATGTTTTGAATCAAGCTACCTTTGCCAGCAGGTCTTTGCATTAAAAAATGATCATATTTTGTTAAAGTATTTAAATGAAAATGTTTTATAGCAGATAATTTAAATTTTCTTTTAACAATATTGCTATTTTGCATTTTAAGATACAAGATTTCATACATGTTCAGAGTTGTTGTAACCATGAAATTTCTCAGAAGTTTTATAATAAAAAGTATTCGACAAATTGAAGACATTCTTATTAACCATTGATTAATAAAGAACAAAATTATAATTTTAAGAATTGTTTAATGACATTGATTAACCTAATTATTACCATCAAGGTATATTGTAGATATCAAAGTTTTTATAAATAATTTAGAAACAGAACAAAAACAAGTTAAATGAGATAACAAAGAAAAACAACTGTTTTTAACATCAAAGAAATTTAGGTGAGAAACCAATAAAAAAGTTTTGTATTGGTGCCAATGTAACCACTAGAAAATATTTAGTATTTAGCAAACACATTGCTAGAAAGTTCTAAATTAAAAAGTAAACTATATTTTTAATTCAGATAAAGTAGAATTTCTCTGATAACGCTTAAGCAGATTGTAAATCCACTAAGTTCTTGGGATCTGGATTTCTTTATATTAATCACCCATTTAATAATGACATTCAAAAAGATTCTCATCAAAAATACTTTGAGAATACCCTCCTAAAGAAAATAATGAACTGCAGATCATTCCCTTTTTAGCACCATAGCAAAAAAAGGTAGTAACATCCGTTGTGCACCAAGGGAGGTTAAGGCTTTTTCTTCTTAGACAAGTTAGGTGGGCTTGAAGAGGATACTGAGTATCGAACCCCAGTTCTTCGAACTTCAAAGCAAGGTTTGTGATCTTTTTTAAAAATGTTTTTTAATTAAATCCGATTTTTTTGATTCTTATTCAAATACACTCTAAGAACTTTGATCCATGATTAAAAAAACTTTATGAATGTTTAATCCAAATTAAATTGATATTAAAACTATTTATAACAATATTTAAGAATCTCAAAGTACCTAAAACAAATTTTCATTATAATACATAGCTTTGAATGCATAACCATTTTGAAACAAATGCAGGATTGAAATTTACACCCTATTTTTGGCATATTAGGGTGTAATTTCTTTTTAAGATAAACTTAAGCTTTAAAAATATGCATTTTCCACCAATAAAATATAATGTAGATGTTAATCGTATGCTTTTTCAATCAAGCGTCAGAATTTTAATTAACATTATTTGTATTCTTTTTGTGAAAAAAAATCATGTTTATTAATTAATTTCTACAGCTATGCAAGTCTATATTAAGACAGCATTAAATGTTTACTTTAATCCTTACTTTCAATCTCAAAAATCAAAAGATTTTTAAAAATGTAATTTCAAATGTGTTGGAATTTAACACACACCAAGAAAGAAAGTAGTTTTGTTAACTAAAATTAATTAATGCAGCAATTCATTTAAAACAAATTTTAAAGCTAAGAAAAGAAAATAATAAAAGTATCAATCATTTAAAACACTGTTACTTAACTTTTTAAGTCTATACATATATATNTATACATCCATATATATATATATATATATATATATATATATATATCAATTGATTTAAATCAATGATTTTTTTTTAAAAAAATCACTTGATTTAAATCAACAAACCCTGCTTCAAAGCAATAAAAATATGTGATTTGTATCAGTAATAAACTGCCTTCTAAAAAGTTCTGATTGCAAGAAATTTATCTAAAAGCACAAATCTATACTATTTAACTACCTTTCCAAAATTAGGTAAATTTTGAGTGAAAAAGTTAAAATACTGCAAGCTTTATATCTCAAATTCTGATTCCATGATGGCCTTGTATTTTACATGTATTGAAAGATACTGTGAAAACCTACCATCAGTTTATTTGTAAAGCATATTTAGAATTTTCCCTCCTTGTTTCTTAAAATAAAAGTTATACAGCATTTTTTTTAGGTTAATTTAGGGCAGTTTTTAATCATTAATTAAATACAAAGTGAATTTGAAGCAAACAAGCTTTCAAAACAATTGGCATTATTGATAAAATAATGTTTTAAGCTTTTGATAGTTTAAGCAAATGTAAGCAATAAGCTCCTTACTACTTAGGCTGCATTATCATTAGATTTGTTGACACTTTCACAGATACAAAATGCATAATGTTAGCAGAACCCTCAACATGAGTTACTGTGTTTTAAAAATTATACATAAATATAAAATAAGGAAAGCAGATATGAAATAGTTTTATGTGTTCATTAAGAAGAGAAAAAACATCACACTGTATGCACCATTAAGGCTTATCACAAATTAAAAAGGTTAAAAGTAAATGGAACATGTTGCAATAAATGGTGTTTAAAAACAATAGATTACATTTCAGATTCACTATCAGGGTCAGAAGATAATCCTACAACATAATTGGAAGAATACCTAGGACGTTTACACCCACTTTCACTTAGATCATCCTCATTAGACTTTGGGCAGGATTCCATGTTTACTGTCACTTTCTGTTGTAAATGATTACAAGCATAAGGTATTCCTCTACTACCAACAATAATGAAGTTCCTTCCACTTGAATGTTGTTCGGGGGTAGTTACTGTCTTTTGGTCTTTACGGGGATGCCTTTCAACACACCTGGGACTCAGAAGCCAGCTCAAATTTTTTTCTAAAAATAGTTTTAGACCAGGTGGGATATCAAGTTCATTCAAAACACACTTCTCATCAGGAATCAGATCCCTCAGCCTCACACAACACAGAAATTGAAGGCAAGATGGAAACGAACAACTTTTAAGTAATCTCATACTGCTGCAGGCAGCTGTGGACGATGCCATGGCGTAAAGTGTCTTCCCATTTAAACCTCTACTTGCAACGCCTGTTAAAAAAATAAAAAAGATTTGTTCAGGTTTTGTATTTAAAATATACACTATGTGGCCAAAAGTATCTGGACACCTGATTGTTATGTTGGTGGAAGTATAATAGTGTGTGGGGGGGGGGAGTTTCTCATTGTTTATCCTGCAGTTGGAAACATGAACTCTGAGATGTATTTGGACAATGCTGCACTCCCAACTCTGTGGCAATATTTCCTTCCCTTCCAGCAGGATAACTGCTACATTCACACATTGAGGCTTGCTTATGAGAGCCCCGATCTAAATCCCATAGAACATCTTTGGGACAAAATAGCGCTCAGATTACATAGCCAGCCAAATCGACCACCCACTTCAGCTGTGATAGAAGTCAATTCCTATCCAAAACTGGTGGAGCAAAAGGGGGACATATTAATGAGTCCATGCGACTGGTTGTCCAGATACTTTTGACCAGTATTTACAATGAAATTTAATTATTTCTGATCTGGAAAATAAACTATTTAAAAATGATTTTCAAGTAAATTGTGAATAGATCAGGTTGTTCGGAAAGTAATTTTGTTTTTCCGACAGAGGATTTAATTGTATTTTTTCGAACCCAACTTCATACTTAGGCTGCATTATCATTATATGTTTTGAGAGCTGATATAGCAAGGCTTGTGTGTGAAAAAGTTCAATTAATTCTACGCATTTGTTTTTGGTTGGTGCCCTTTTAAATATGGAGAGCAATAAGCAGCATTTTCGTCATATTTTACTATTTTATATATTTATATTATTTTTTATTATATAAGATTTTTATAAATAATTTACTTATTGCAATTAAGATTTTATAATTAAACAAATTCTAGAGTATAAAATTCAAGTTTAAAAACTAAATTTAATAAATTTTTTTGTGTGTAGAAACGTTTTTTAATAACAACAAATATTTTAAAACTTCCCACACTAAATTTTATTACGAAAACTAATTATGAGAATTTCCTTTTTACCCGTCTTTTGATATGTATGGTTTTTTTTTCAGTCTAAATATATACATTAAAGAATAAATATTGATAAATGTTTCAAAATACTATCATATTAATTTTACAATTTATGAAGTTTTTGGAAGAAAAAAAAATTCAAACCAGTATTTTAAAATAAAGTAAATGTTTCTTTCATTGCAGTAAGAACATGGAATTTAAAAGTTGACAAATTTCTAAATAAATATTTTGAAAAAGTTATATACGGTTAAGTAATTAATTACTTTTGTTTGTCACAAAATAAAAAATTAATGTATGAATGTTAACAAAATTAAACAAAGAAATCGTTTCTAATTTATGTTGATTGAAGTAAAAAAAAAAATTATAATATTATAATTATTTTTTAAAAACTCATACAGTGAGCGATATTTGCAAAATAAAATAATAATGAATCAATTTTTACATAATTAACAAAAAAATAGTTTTTTATTTTATGATTTTTGAATGAAAAATATTACAAGCTCTGTAAACAATATCCCATTCCAAAATGGGACCGAACCTATGCCCTCATATCAGTAAGACGGACGCTCTGACCACTACACCACGACTCTTGTACGGAGGAAAAAATAATTTAAATTTAAGTTATGTCTTTTGTTACATGTTTCGTATTATGTTCGTTATATGTTAAGTTATAGCAAATTTTTCCTTCATTCAGTATTTCGGAAATTCTTTAATTTCATCCTAGTTTAGTTTTGTAAGAATTAAAACTCATAGTTCCCTTGTCAGTTACTGACAATGACAAGACTCAATATTATCAACAAGTAAATATTTATCTCTAGTTTAACTAAGCAAAAATAATTATAAGTATTTAAAAATAAAATATAAATTGTAATAAGAATCCACACTTTTCAGTTTATTCAAATTTCAGAGAGACGTAAAATAATATCTTTCTACGGCTCTCACATGTTCACTCTTTGTTTTTGAAAAATTTTTACCATTAAATTTACGTTTATAATCCCAAAAAATTAACGTAAATATAACTATGCAACAAAACGTCAAAAGTTCGTTAAGAAAACGTTTTTAAAAAACAGTCAAAAATGGGTAAAATGTGCACGTTAAAATAACATATTTTTAATGAAATTTTTAAAGGGAAAATTTATAACGTTAAAATACCGTCATTTTAACGTACACGTTTTAACGAATGAAGAAATGGTGAAAATCATCACGTGAAATTGCCGTAATTTTAACGATAAGTCCAAAACCTTATTACGAACAAACATATTTTTAACGCTTATTTGCCCTTTCATGCTGCATGGGTATCTAATGTGTCAGACTTCAACTTGATCCATCTAGGAACCTAAACTTGCTTTAATACTTAGAGATCCTTAAACCATTGCAAAAATTCTTCATATAAACTTCTCATTATGTCAGTGTCCCAATCTAAAGACATCTTCCATGTTTTCTGAAGGATAAGCTTTGAACAAAGTGTAACGGGTGAAGCAACTCCAAAAGGATCGAATAATTTATGAGCTATAGACAACAAAGTTCTTTTTGTTACAGTTTCTAGTTTTATATCCTCTAACCATTCAAGCTTGAAAGTAATTATATCTGAGTTTGCGTCCAACTGAAGTCCTAACAAATCCAAAGGCTTTGAGTCTCTTATTAGAAGTAAATGCCTAATCTCGTAATTCAAAACCTCCTCTTTTTAGTATATCATCAGCACCTGCTATAAATTCTTTTAGTTGTGTCTCATTCTCTACACCAGTGACAAGATTATCTACGTAGAAACTCTTAAAAAGTTCAGACGCTATGAAAGGATTAATATCAGCATATCGGTTAATATGGTAGTCTAATACAGCTTCCAACAGAAAAGGACTGCTCGTAACACCAAAAACAACCCTGGTATGACGAAACACCTTAAACTCTTGACAATCTTTGGTTTTCCACCATAGGAAACGTAAAAAGTCTCTGTGTTCCATACAAATACTTATCTGAAGTAATGCCTTCTTTATATCTGCAGTGATCCCAATTCTTTTTCCTCTAAATCGTAATAAGATATTTGGAATCAATTCAATCAGATTTGGACCGCTGCGTAAGCATTGATTTAATAATGGATAGCACTTCATTCTAGCTGAAGCATCAAAAACCGGGCAAATGGGTGTTGTACTGCTACTTTCCTTCAACACAGGTCGATGAGGAAGGTAATTTCCAAATGAATCAACATCTAACTGTGGAACTTCTTCAATAATTCCTTCATCGAGCCATTGCAACAAGATCTTCTCTTAGCTATCATACAAATTTTCGGAGAGTATCTTGGTAGTCGCAGAACGCAATCTTCTCTTGGCCAGTTCAAAATTATCTGGTAAAGGCACAGAGTCATCTTGCCAAGGTAGATGAACCTCACAATGTCCTTCATTAGTGTATTTAAGGGTTTCAAAAAATCTTTCCTTAACAGAATATTCCTGTTCATCTTTTGATAACTTTTCAATTGGATCCTTGATCTCAATCAAGTGTAACTCCCACAAATCAGATATATTAGCTTCTTTTACGAAAAGTGACATGGCAGAGCTAGAGTTGTCTTTTTTTTGTGGCACTTACTTTATCAAATTCTGAAATGTCAGGTGATTTTTCTAAAAGTGTCCACCCTAACAACGTTTCTATGGCTGTTAGTCATGAAGTGAAGTTAAGGATTTTACGAGTAATGATCTTTCCTGCTATGTCAGCACCAATAAGCAAATGAATTGTGGAGGAACAAAAAGGAGAACATTCTTTATCTGATAAATGAACTCCATTATCTTCCAATTCCTGCGTTAAAACCTCTGATACCATTTGATGCATTTCTGAGCAAATCTTCTCTGGATCAAGAACGTTGAAAGTGCAATGATAACTCTTTGTAACATCACTCACGTAGATCTTGTATTCTAAATGCTTCTGTTTATTTTCAATTCCACCAAATAAAGTATGGATGAGAGTCGTTTCTTTCAAAGCATGAAATTTCATTTTCTCAGCAGCCTCCTTCGTAATGTATGACTTATGGTTTCCAGTATCTATGAGAGCTCTTACAGCAAAATCATCCTCTGTTTCACCTCGAAGCAGCACAACCAAAGTCTGAAGAAAAACATTTGAGGAACATGTAGGATAGGGCAATGTGTTAAAATGTTCCACCCTCTTGACATCAGTTGTTTCTTTAGAATTGAGAGTCCCATTATTCTTTCCATCAGGGCACATAACAACGTGATGTCGTTTCTTACAACTTTTACAGTTTTTTCGAACCTTGCAGAGTTTAGACAGAGGACCAATATTCAAACATCTAAAACAACAACCATGTTTCTTAAGTTTTGTCATTTTTTTTATTTAATCCATTTTTCGAGCAAAATAGCAATCTTTTGCTTCATGGTTTTCTCTGTCACAGAAGACACATTTCAAATTAAAACTTCTATTTCCTGAAAACAATCCTGCAGCAGTTGGAATGTCTCTTTTAATTTTAGAATACTTGGTATTTTCCTTCAACGAGAAACCTTGCATAGCAAGAGCAATTCTATCTTCATTCTCAACTTCATTTTTTAAGAAATTCATTAAAAATTTCTAATCGAGATTCTTCTTTAGAGCTTTTCATCAGCCCCTTTTCGTTTCTCTGCCAAGCTCTAAGTACTTCTTCACTTAAACATAATTCCACAAGGGAAATAACATGACAGAGTATTTTGCTGTAGTTACACCTAGAGTCTAATGACCTTAGTTGTGTTTCAATGCGGTCGTAAGTAGTTGATAATTTAATTTGTTTATCTTTAGAGTTAAAAGTCAAAGTAAGTTTTAACAGCTCCCGAACATAATACTCAACCAAGAAATCATCTCTGCCGAACTGAGATTTCTAACAGTCAATGGCCTTTGCATAATTTCCAGAAGACTGGGGAAAGCTTTCAACTAATTCGCGAGCTCTGGAATTCTGAACAGTAGCCTGTACTAAATATTGAAACTTGTCAGTTTCATCAATATCGGCGTCTTCATCGATTTTTCGGAATTGTACCCAGAATGGAAACCAATCCTTAATTTCTCAG